GTATAGTTACCTTAATCATAACCCTAGTTTCTAAAATGTGCACCCTGAACCCTAAACCCTGCACCCTAAACCCTGCACCCTAAAACCCCAAACCCACAAGTACGCTTCTAGGATCCTTTCTAGGAGCCCTTATAGTTCCTTTAAGGGAAGCCTGGAAAACGCTCTTAAGCTCCCTTGAAGCCAAGGACTACATCGCCCTAACAGAGACCTTTGCCGAGGGCCTCTACACAGAGCTGGACTTCCGGAACGAGGCCTCCGTCAGGGAGCACAAGGGCCACAAGGGTTCTAGGAGGGCTCCTTGAGGGGTTCGTGTATGGGATTCAGGTTTTTAGGCTTCGGGTTTGGAGTTTAGGGCATTTGTTGTCTACATTTTTATTATTGTTTGTGTAGCTTTATTATTGGTATCTGGTTGTTTTGAGGGTTCTAGGTCGGGAGAGTTCATCGCATCTGTGGTTGCTTTGTTTTTGGGGTCGAAACCACCATGAGACATCCCTAAACCCTACACCCTAAACCCTAAACCCTAAACCCTAAACCCTAAATCCCTACATAAGGTTGGGCGGGTTCGCACATTTATAGGTGAGCTCCTTCGTACTCCGACCTTGATAAAAGCACCGGCCTGGGGTATGCATGTATCTCAATTTCTTTCGAGGGCTGCAGATCTAAGTTCCTAAGCCCTAAACCCTAAACCCTAAACCCTAAGCCCTAAACCCTAAACCCTAAACTCTAAACCCTAAACTCTAAACCCTAAACCCTATTCCCTGTTCCGAGGCCTTGAACGCGCTGCGCATGGAAGAGCTGCTTAAGGAGAGCTTAGAGCCCGAGGCTCTGGACAGGACGCCTTGGGTTTTGGGTTTACGGGTATAGGGTTAGTGTCTAGGGTTTAGGGTCTAGGGTTTAGGGTTTAGGGTTTAGGGCTTCGGGTTTAGGGTTAGGGGGGTTAGGGTTTAGGCTTTAGGAGTTTGGTGTTTACTTGAAGGTTCATGGGTGGGATTATACGTAGGATGACTATAGCTAAATCTTATATTAGGCGACGTATAACCCCACTTATAACTACGCATGAACCCCCAAGTAGTAAGTCTCCCTAAACCCTAAACCCTAAACCCTAAACCGTTAGTAAGTGTAGGGCCCGGCTCCGGCTGGCACCGTAAACCCGAAAGCCTAAAGCGCAGGATCGTGATCCCCGGACCGCTTATGTCCCTGACGAAGCGCCGCGTGATGCTCTCGAAGTGGGTGAACGGCGTGAAGTTGAGCACCCTGCCGCAGCAGGACACCGGGTTGTAGGAGGATGTGGCGGGAATTTCCGACTGAGGTTGTGCGGTTCGTGCCGGGCTTTTCAACGTGAAGGCCCTCACTATATAAGCCTATGTTGTTTTGGCGGAGTTGTTGCCAGCCCTAAACCCTAAACCCTGAACCCTAAACCCTCAGTACTTTACTTAGGGGTTCGAAGGATGGACTCCTTCCTAACGGCCCCTGCCTCCCTCGGAACTCGAGAACTGAAGGCGCAAACACCCCCTGTACCAGAACCTCAAGGGCTAAACCCGAAACCCCAGACCCTTCTATAGAGGCCTAAACTTATTCCTTCGGTTTCTTTAGTGTAAGCTTACTATAGTGTGCCCTAAATGAGACCCTAAACCCGTAATTCCTAAGCCTGAAGCCTAAACTCCAAAATCTTGAAACTCTGTAAATTAATCCCTTCTCAACCCGCGTAAGACAAAACCTCAAGAACTCTTCGAGCCTGATAAACCGTGGGTTTAGGGTTTAGGGTTTAGGGTTTAGGGTTTAGGGTTTAGGGTTTAGGGTAAACGTTTCTAAAACCTTCCAATCCCGATGAGATACCTTGAAAAAACACTATTAAGACTTAAGCCAAGACATAGACAAAATTCAAAACCCTATAGCTTAGTTGCCCAATACCCAACCTCTAAACTTGTTGGGCTCTTAGAATTTAGTAGTAATCTGAAAGTTTAACCTTTTATTTCCCTGGCTTATTGAGGAAGTGAGATCCCTAAACCCCAAACCCCAAACC